GGGCGTGGGGGCTGCAGCCCGGGGTCAACTGAACACAGCCTGCATCTGGGCTGAGCACCGGGAGGCAACAGGCACCAGACAGCCCCGGCCCTCAAGTTGTTCACAACAGGACCACAACACAAGGGATGGATGGCCTCACAGTAAGTGCTCAGGAGAGCCCAGCACAGGTCGAGACCCAGGGTGTTCAGGGCAGGCTTCCTGGGACAGGAAACATTTGAACTGACATCTGAGACAGGGGATGCGAGACACACCCGCAGAAGCCTGGAACAGGAAAGGAAACCGAGGCTACCAGTTCAGCTTCAAGTTCGACTCTCAGAGTTGTGAGAGAAAACCAGACGCCATGGGAGGCAGGCGTGGACACCTTTACCTACAAGTGAGTCCACTGCGGACCCCCATGACGGGAACACACGCGCCACCGTGACTCACCACCAGAGAGAAAGCTGCTGGGGAGCTCAGAGGGACCTGAAGCCTCGAGGAATAAAGTAACACAGTCATCATTTCATAAATCTTCAGTGGAAAATTTTAAATGAATAATCTGCCTTTCTTTTTTTTTTTTTTTAAGCCAAAGATACTGGAGAGGAAAGCAATACAAAAACCAAAGATAAACACAAAAAATTCCCTGAAGAACCAGGAGGCTCATACAGGTGTGCCTGACACCTGTACATTACCGCCCAGGGAGAGAGGAGAGCTTGGACACACAGCGGCTTTTACTGGGGGGCACCAACATAACACTTGGTTATCCTATGGCATACGGGCTGATCCAACTCAGTCAAATCAGAATACATTTTACATTAACAATTGCTAACGCTTGTTGTATTTGGTGAGTAAAACAAAACCAATTTCATTGTAGCCACTGTAATCATAAACTGCACATGGTAGTAAAGCGGACAAGCCCCACGTACACTGTGCTCCGAGGCACTGCGCCTGCTTTGGTCGTGGGCGACTGTGCTCTCACGTCGACCAGCAAGCTTCCAGGGCAAGCGCTCTCCTGTTCTGCTGGGGGAACCCATGCTCTTTCTTTATCTACCAGGAGGATAACACCTGCCCTTTTCTAGGACCCTTCCAGACCATGTGAAGTCAACGGGGAGCAGCTACAGGCTGGATGATGGGCCTGAGCACATGAGACTGGCCTGAGACAACTAACTCCAAACTCATGGGATGGGCCTGCACAGATGCGGAGCACAGGGGTGGCGGGTGGCCAAGGCCGTGACGGTGCTCTGGGTCTGGGTGTGAGTGAGCACCAAAGTGAGAAGGGCTAGCCTCGCACTCCTAAACCAAACAGAGACGCTTGATGCGTCTAAAGTTTCAGGGGAGTCCAGGGTAGTTAAGTACCACTCCCGGTTTGTGAAATGGTCACGAGAACAACCAGGCTGTCTTTATGGGGGATATCCTAAAGGACAGAGTCCTCAGAGCTGCTGGCTCAGCACAGTGGCGTTCTGAGGCAGGTGGATGCCCAGCTGGAGGACAGCGAGCAGAGACCAGCGGCCACACCGCCCTCTCTTCTGCACAACCCGGAGGCGGCTGGTGGGCTGTGGGCTCCTGGAGGAGGAGCACACCGTTGATGATTCCATCCTGTTCCTGACAGGTTTAGTTCACCTCCTTCTCCCAGGGGGGCGCCTTTGGCTCCCCGCTTTTCATCACATTGCTTCCCAATGGCACCACCTCACTGGTTCTTGTTTTATTTACTTTTGCAACCCTTTCCTCAAACTTACTCCGTCACTGCTGTTTTTCCCTTGTCCTCAAATCATTGACTACGCGTGATCCAGAGGTTTTTTTCTTTGGCAGGATTCCTTTTACCGTCTGCTTTTTGCTGAACCCGTAGAGACCATGACTACCTTTAGTGCAACCAAACTCGGCTGCGGAGCGACTAGGGGACTCACTCAAGATTCTTTGTGAAAAATGAAAAACTTCTCACTATTCTCTCACACACCCAAACTACCCATTTCTTAGTTCGTAGGTCCTTGAGAGAAGAAACAATATGAAAACAAACCAAATTACTTACCAGCCCTCCTGGATTCCAAATTTGTCGCTGGCCAGGGCAGAGTAGGAATTCCCCCTTCTTATGGCCGGTGCTCCCCACCACATGGCTACAGATCATGTGTGGTGTGCAGCTACGAGCACTTTAGAATGGCAAGCTCATTTAAAGTTGCATATTCTGCTATTTTTAGGAGCCTGCAGAATATGTTCTACATAGAATACAGAAAGGCCTTTGCATTCACGTAATGCAAAGCGGATATGCTCTCTAAAGGCCTATGACATCTGCAACTTTCCAGCTATCTTCTGCACTGTTCCAGCAGAGACAAAGTGGAGGCGTTCTCAGTGTCATGCAGTGGGACCCAAGACCACGTGACTGTAACAAGCACAAGAGCATAAGGTGCCCCTGCGAGGCCTCACCTGGGGAGGTTGGGGGCTGGGGTGGAAGCAGCTGATGACTGGGAAGGCGTTGTGGGTTGAGATGAGTCATGATTTCTTGGTACTCTGCCCATTCGATACCAGATGCCCATGCTGTTCAGTTCCCTTTAGGAGAAAAGAGAAATCTTGACGGCACTGTTTGGCACAAAGCATTTACCTGAGAGACAAAGCAAACCAACTCATTTAAAAGAATCATAGCCTCAAACACCAGGGAATCAATTCCTGCCCCAAATCAGCTACCTCACCTCCCTTTGCGCTGCGTGTCACAGCTCAGAGCCTAACGTGAGGACATCTGTCCCAGTGGCAGGCCTTTGTGCCATGGCCATTTCTTGCATTCCTGGAACTTGCTTCCTCCTACACTATCAACATTTCCCTTGGTTCTACGTCTTTAGAATTCTTATTATTTTGCCATTTTATTGTGGGTATTTATGTGACAAGCACTTCAAGTCCTTTGTATGGTTAGAGTGAGAACAGATAGAGCAATCAACGGGCTGACAGACGTATATGCCTGGTTTACAACCATAAGAACTGGCCCCACCCTGCAAGATGACATGCCCCAACCTCTGGATAATGCTCCTTACTGCAGGAGTGTCACCTCAGGGTCAGTTTGGGACACACCTGCAAACCACAAAGCCTGAGGCATGTGCTGCAGGAACCACCACAACTAAGAGTGGCCACGAGGGGCCTGAGACATGCCACGTCCCTCTGCGGCCCAGCCCCATGCCACACGGTCACATGCGTTCATGGGACAGGTGTGTTCTTAGGAATTGTAAGGGATTTATTTTAGCCACATCCAACTTACAACTTCTTAAATGCCCCTCAGAACTGCATCCTGGGATGTAGAAGAATATCGTCTCTTCAAAAAATGGCAAGAGATTTATTCAGTGGGTACTTCTAGTAGCTTCTCAGTATGCTACAGAACCTATTCTAGACTATATCAGACAGCCGATTCCAATCAGCTGTACTGATTTCACCACATGTCAGTGGTGGCCCAGTGGTCAGGCCATGGAGGAGCGATTCCCAGTCTGGGGTTGCCCCCCGCCCCACAGACAACCCCAAACCCTCGCAAAGTAATGCACGGAAATGTGCCTGTATTTAACAAAAAGTGACTCAGAGTTCTCAATGCTGAATTCTTTCCTTTCTTAAAAATAACACTGGAATTGTCTTCTTTTGGAAAATAATTTTTACCACAAGATGAAACAAAAATATACTTTTATTAGGCATCTTTTCAAAATGATATAGAGGAAAGAAAATTCTAGTTTTGATTACTGAGACATACATGGTAAGAATCTATTCTTTAGAATTACTTAAACTGGTTAAACACAGAGCCTTTTAAAGTAGTATAGTTTGTAATTAAATACACATAGTAACTGAAATTAGACTTTAAAAGTTCTTTATTAAATTGTTGGGTTCTACTATTTGTATGTAAATGGCTGCTCCTAAGGTATGTGAAGTATGGTTATTCTCTTAACTACCTCCTATTTCCGTAATTCAGTTTACACAATTAGTGGGAACCATAATGCAGAACAGGATTTTTGAGTGTGTAGGAAGGGAATGATTACATGGAGTCTTTCTTAAGGGCCACAAATTTTGACACAGAGCCTTCAGATTCCATTGCTCAGGAGTCTAAACAATTGTGCACCAAGATGAAAATGGTCTGTTTCTGTGGTACCTGCTCCCATCACGCTTCGAGCAAATGCCACAACTCTCATCCAACACCCGGCCTGTGTGGGGCCTGAGGAGGGGCCCTGGCTTCTAGAGTGAAGATGAGGACCTGGGCTCCAGTGAACAAGAAGCAAAACAGAGCACAGCCCAGATCCAGAGGCTGACCTCAAAGGCCAAGTAGAAGGGGTCCAATGGAGACCCACAGGGACCACCGAGATGCCTGCAGAGCCGGCCTGGGGGAGAGACACGTGGCCGAGGGGACTGACCACCACCTACCACGCTGATGCCCTTGAGACCCGAATTTCAGGTGACTGAGTGTGATGAATGTCGGTGCTCTTTCTGACTCCCAGCACCCACTCAGCCCCCTTCTGATTTTTACCTCTCTGTATATGGTGGGCAGCCACCCCTTTAATCCAGTGGAGCTGATCCCACTTCCAGCTCAGACATCCCTCAGGTAGCAGCGATGGGTTCTGGGTGCACATGACCCCAGTGAGATCAGTCAAGACCAGTGATGCCACATTCTAGAATTTCTGTTTGAATTGGTGAGAATACAGATTTGTCTTTGCCTCAGGACTTGAACTTGGAGGAAAAGTAGGTGAAGTCACCCCACCAAGATTCCTGCACTCAGGGAGACGATGTCTAAGAATGGTGTCCACCCTGACAAATCAGAGCAAGGAGGTAGAAAGGGGGAAACTAGATTCTAGTACCATCCTCTGAGCACCTACTTCCAGCCACACCTGAAGCCATGCTGCTTGCTCCCTTGACTCTGCTGTTACGTTGGACAATAAATTGTCCTTTTGCTAAAGCCAGCCTGGACGGGGTTCCCTAACATTTACAAGCACAAGAGTCCACAGTGAAATCCTGAGTTGCCCTGTGCTTAGTATTTATGAAACAGCTGCAGAGTGAGGCCTGTGCCCAGCACCAAGGCTCCTGGGTGAACATGACACAGTGGGCCCTTCTCAGCGGTCCTCCATTTACCACGGAAGATGACTATCAGACCAAAAAATGGCACAGGGAATTTTCATGTAGTCATGTAATGTTCATGTTTCTTCCCGACTTAGACCCCTCCAATGCTTTTCCAGTATGTTTGGAATAACACGCAAACTGCTGCCATGTCCTACGAGGTCCTGCCACCACGTCCCCCATCCCTGGCTTTTCCTCACTCACTCATCCCAGCATGGGTACCTCCTGCCACGCCTGTCTCCACTTTTACACCTGCTCTTCCCTCAGCCCGGAAGGCACTGCACTCGAATCTCTGCGTGGCTGGCTTCCTGTTGACATTCAGGCCTCTGCTCAAACCTCGCCTTCCTGACCCCTGGCTGCAGCGCCCCCATCCACAGCTGCCTGCAACAGGCACCCTCATTTACTGCTGGTCGGTTGCCTCTCTCTCCCTTTTGGAGCTCTGACTCCATGAGGGCGGGCTCTTTGACTTATTCACCAGCACATCGAGGGTTCCTGGGTGCTCCCCAGACTTTCTTGAGAGGAATAAACAGTGCAGAGAGCAGAGACCCAGTGGCAGCAAAGGCCAGAACACCTTGGTTTTCAGGCATCTGGAAAGGCCCAGAGGAGCCTGCAGGACAGACACACGGACGGGGGAAGGGAAGGCCCTTGGGTGGGGCAGGCAGCATGGACCAAGGCCTGGAGAGGTCAACGGCGTGGTGTTCTGGACTGGCTGCCACATCAGCACAAAGGGCAACAATGAGCCCTGAGGCTGGAGAGGCAGCTGGCTGAGGGCTTGCGGGTCACGCAGAAGCCTCCGGACTTCATCCCCGCTTGCGACCTCAGCACCATCGTCAGCAGACAGATGAGATGAGATTTGTGTCATTCAGACTTACCCAATAAATGTGTACTGAGGAGGTGCCTGCTTGGTCCGGCCCATGATCCGAATGTCACAAATGGCAGCTTCAGTTGAATCCCGTGGGATAAATTTAATGCACAGCCTCTTCTTTCTAAAAGCCACTTCCTCTGAAGGAAAGGACAACAAGAAAAGGTGTGAATCTTTGAGAGATGTCAACATGTCTATTCTGAACACAGAAGTGAATGGTCACCCAGTCGCCCGACAGAAGAGCTGGGCTCTGCCCTCTGCCGTCCACGGGCCCCGGTGGACGGGCCATGACTGCAGCACGGGCGCCGGTCAGCCCCCTGCCCTGTGTTCAGGACCTGGCCCCAGACGTCCCTGCTGAGAAGGGGCTCCCCAGGCTCCAGGGCTACACTTCTGCAAGGAGAAGCTTGGAATAACCCCATGGGGCTGGCTTCCAAAAGCCATAACCACGATCTGCTCACTGTTCATAGGCACCCTGACTGACAATATATTTTGCCATGTGGACTTTTTCTTTTTTCTTTTTCATTAGAGAAATTTCCAAACATTCCCTGAAGTACAGAGAACAGTAGGATGAATCCACATGCTCCCACCATCTAGTTTCAACACTGTCAACAAAGGACAAGCTGAGTTCATCTCTGCCCCCACCCCCATTAGTTCGGCTGGAGGACTTAAAACGAATCTCCGCCACAAGGTCATGTCGCCCATCATTATGTCAGTAGGCATCTATGGCAGCCAATTTTTTTTTTTAACATCGCCACCATGCCATTGTCATACCTAACAAAATGAACAATTCCTTAATAGCCTCCAATACACAGTCTATATTCAAGTTTTCTCCGTTCTCTCACAAATGCCATTGAACTGTGGGTGTGCTGGGATTAGGATCCAAACAATGCTCGTTAGGTCACTGAATCTGGCTGTTAGGTCTGTGAAGTCCCTTTTACTCTGTAGCAGCGTCTCCACCCTCCTGTTTTCTCCAGGGCACTAGCAGGCCCAAGAATTTGGGGTTACTCCACTGTGTCTCCTATAAACTGGCAGTTAGAGCAAAAGGCTCAGTCGGATTCAGGTTAGACTATTTTAGGCAAGTACATGTCACAGGTGGAGCATGTATGTCACACGGTGTCACATCACGAGGCCGAGATCAGCGGGGCACCCCCTCGGCAGGTTCCGGAGGTGTCGGCCTGGTACCTGGGTTACAAAGTGCCAACTACCATTTTCGGAACAGTGTTTCCATCCTGATGGCTGTTGCCTAGACCCGTAATTCCATTCAAGGTATCAAAACGGTGATTTTCTAATTCTGTCATTTCTTCTGCATTTATTATCTGAAATTCTACTACTTAAAAGATAATTTTTCTCCTCCAACTACTTGTTCATGTCTCCCAGAAACATGCTTTGTACAGGAACGGAGAGATAAATAAGTGATCCTTTTCTCTTATGAATCAAGTCTTAAGAGTACTGCGTTGGTGCCTTAGCCACCTCCAGTGCTGACCACCAGGTGTTTTTTTGTTTGTTCATTTGTGGTTGTTAGACATGAGTTTCAGTCAATTACAGCCACTCAATACATGAGGCAGATGGATCTGAGTTGAAGCCCCAACTCCGCCATTTTCCAGCACTTACGACCTTAGGCAAATGACTTAATTTCTCTGAGCCTAGTTTGGCTATCTGTAAAAGAAACACTGGTAACACAAGTACTTCATTTAGCCCAGCACCTGGCACACAGTGAGTGCTCGGTAAAGAACAGCCTTGAATGCTATCATCATTACAACACACAGCTCAGGTCAGTGTTTGGCACTGACTTTGAAGATTTCAGTTCTGTGGCAGGAAATGGGCACATCAAATACGGGAACGGGATGAGGAGGGAGGCCGGGCCTGCGGCCGGGCTTCATTTCACCAAGGGGAGGTAAGAGGCAGGGGTGGTGTTCTGTTGTTATGGGTGGGGGACTGCCAGGTGGACACTCAGAAATTTTGCAGCTCTTTTCCTAGGCAAGGCACCTGAGGACGCCATCAGATGGGCAGGCTGTGGGTAATAATGTCCTGAGTGCAGACCCCAAACACTGCCCCGCAGGGCAGGATGGGACCCTGGGGGAAAGCACCACAGCAGCCCTGTGCCTTCAAAACTATTGGCTGGTAAGCCGAGGCCTCCCAAAGTGTGATGAGGTGAGGCTTTTCCTCAAAGTAAATGAAAATGCAGGCATTTCACTTGATTTTACCATGCCTCTCCTCGCTCTGTTCCTGCATCTACAGCAAACTCAGGGTAAGAGATGGAGTCACTAATTACACATGCTTAAACAGGCCTAATTTTAAGTAAACATATTATACAGAGTCAATAGAAATGTGTTCAGTCATGCTAATGAACACAGAGAAAGGACACAGCACTTTACTAAAACAAACAGTCTTCCAGTTTTTAAGTACTGTGTGGATTGCAGCAAACTGTATTTTAAATTAACTACAGGAGTCTCATCTTTTTGGCTGACTTCATAAAATCTGGGCCTTAAATGTAGCACAAGCTGCACAGGGCTGGCCATAGGTTTACCCGATCAGCTTGGGCTCACCTGTCCCCTGGGTAAAGGCTCCAGGAAATGACCATATGACCTGAAATGAAAAGGCTGCCCTAAACCCACTCTCCTTGTATGAGAAGACATTTGCTGGAGATGCCAGGACCCGACCTGAGAATGTCCGCAGGGCAGCAGCCGAAGCCCCCTCAAGTCACAGGGGGAGGCTCCCCACCCAGGATCACGGCGAGACCCTGGGCCCAGATGGGACTCAGCCCTGGGCCTCTTCGCTCAACTGATTCAACAAATTGAGAGGAAAATGCAGAATGGGAAATCTCTTGCGGCTCTACAGAATGTCAATATAAAGACATTATAAGCCAATTAGTTGTCAAAAAGAACACCAATGCAAATTTTAAAACTAAGAAAAACACAGGGGAAAGTGGGAAATTAATACAAATCTACAAGGCAATTTTAATTCTTAAGCAGACAAATCATATAAGAATAAGCAAAAGCAGCAAACACTTGCAAAAATGTTCAGTCTTACTAATAAATAATGAAGTGAAAATTAAATAAAATTAGAGTAGTAAAACTAAATAAAAATTTTAAACCTATGCTGGCAGGCCTGTGGAAAACAGGTTCAAGCCTGTATCATTAGTGGCACTGTGAACTGGTATTTCTGGAAGTTAATTTGGCAACAGAGAGTAATAAAGCTTATCTTTATTGAGCCCATCCTCTGAGCAAGGCTCTAGGCATGACAGGTACCTTAAGTGATTCAGAGACAAAAGCCACACAGATCTGGCCCTCAAAGAAAGAGATAAGTAGCAAAGACATAAAGAGAACATATAAAATGGCTAAAACGCAAGTAAAAACACATTATGAGGTAAGACAATATTCCCCCCATTTCACAGATGAGGAAACCGAGGCCCAGGAGGGTGAAGTCCTTTGCCTGGGGTCCTACAGCTGTAAGTGGCAGAACCAGACTCAAGACCAGGTGAATCTGACCCTGGAGCTGCAGGTCTTCCTGCTTTGCCAAGATGCAGTTTGTCCTGACAGTGGTAAAGACTGAACTTCAAAGCAGAATTGATCCCTTCCTTTGGCTTTCCACCACTGTAACCTGCGTGTGCTTATTTCCCTCCCTCCCTTCAACACGTGCTGTGCCAGGTATGATGAAAAGCAGTAAAGAAGGCAGACAGGGCCCCCAACCACCAACTGATTACAGCTCTGCCTGGTGGTTGTCATCAGTTTCCTGTTTTCAGGTCCACATCACCCCCTGGACTAAGCTCCTTGAGGGAAGGGCTAGTATCTTAATCGTCTTTATATCCCAAAGCCCGCGATGCCTGCACTGGGCACTCATCAATCTTCTCTGATTGCGGAGAGGACAGAAAGCTTGCTTTGAGGTGGTATCTGGGGATCAGGTGGGAGAACTGCAGCCTGGCTTTATGGGTGTGGGCATTCCAAGTTGAGGGGAACAACAAAGCGAACACACAGAGTCAGAAAAGAAAGTAGTATGAAGAGTGCAGTGACAGCTCAGTTCGGGGAAAGTACAAGGTGCCTTTAGATGAGGAAGACGTTTGCAGAGGAAGATTGGGGGAAGACCCTAAAGGACCTCTGACCCAGCAATGCCAAGTATAAGACATCATTCAAAATCTATACACACCAAACTGGTACACAGATTCAACACCACTCCTATCTAATCACAGCTGGCTTCTCTGCAGAAATTGGCTGATCCCAAAATGCATATGAGAGTTTGAGGGACCCAGAATAGCCAAAGTCATCTTGAAAAAGAAGAACAAGGTGGGAAGACTCATACTTCCAGTTTCAAAACTTGCTACAAAGCTGTAATAATCAAGACAGTGTGGTACTGGCATGAGGAAAGACATATAGATCAATGGAGAGCACCAGGGCCCAGGAATGAACTCTCACATTTATGGTCAATTCATTTTCAGAAAGGATGTTGAGACAATTCAATGGGACAAAGAATAGTCTTTTTAACAAAAAGGTGCCAGAAGAACTGGACATCCACATGCAACAGAATAAAGTTGGACCCCTATCTCATACCATCCACAAAAATGAACTCACAATGGATCAAAGACATAACGGAAAGAGCCAAAACTATAAAACTTGTAGAAGAAAACACAGGCATAAATCTTGGTGACCTTGAATTAGGCGATGGTTTCTTAGATATGACATCAAAAGCACAAGCAACAGAAGAAAAAAACCAGATAAATGGAACTCCATCAGAATAGTAATTTTTGTATTCAAGGGTGAAAAGAAAGTGAAAAGAAAACCCACAAACTGGCAGAAAATTTTATAAATCATATAATTGATAAAGGGCTTTTATCTAGAATGTATTAAAATATTCTTACCACCCAATAGCAAAAAGACAACATAAAACGGCAAAGGATCTGAACAGACATTTCTCCAAAGAAGATACACAAAAGACGAACAGAACATCAAAAGGTGTCCAGGGGTCATTAGCCATTGGGGAAATGCATATCAAAACCATAACCGGAGCCTATTTCACACCCATTAAGATAGCTGAAATAAAATAAAAAAAAAGAATGACACTTAGCAAGTGCTGGTGAAGATGTGGAGAAATTGGAACCTTCATACACTATGGGTGGGGATGGAAAATGGTGCTGGTCCTTTGAAAAACAACTTGGCAGTTCCTCAAAAAGTTAAGTAGTTACCATGTGACTGAGCTATTCCACACCTAGGTAGGTACCCCAAAGCAATGAAAACATACATCCACACATAAATGTTCATAGCAGCATTATTCATAATAGACAAAAACAGAAACTACCCAAATATCCATCAACTGAATATTTGAGCAAAATGTGGTCTATCCTTATGATGAAATATTATTTGGCAATAAAAAGGAATGAAGCACTGATATATGCTACCACGTGAATGTACCTTGAAAATAGTAAGCTAAGGGAAAGAAGCCAGAAATGAAAGACCACATATTGTATGTCCCCATTGGCATGAGATGTCCAGAACAGGCAAATCTATGTAGAAAGTTCACAGTGATTGTCTAGGGCAGACAGGGGGTGGGGAGTGAGGGTTGGGGAGACATGGAGACTGACTGCTAATGGGTTTGGGAGATTCTTGTGGGGCCGATGACGTGTCTAAAATTGATTGTGGCAATGGTTGTGCAACTCTGAAAATACTGTACACTTTAAACCGGTAAATTGTATGGTATGTGAATTATATCTCAATAAAACTGTTGCCAAAAAGCCCTGGTACATAAATATACAAAATATCTCTGTAGAAGGTATTTAAACACATGCTTATAGAATGGTACTGTGGTCAAAAGCGTGGCTGGCATCAGACCTGCCTGTGGGTGCCTCATTTTTATCATATGTGAAATGGGCATAACAATACCCATCTCCCCTACTGAATAGAGGTCCTCTGAAGATTCAAATGAAATCAAATATATATGGCATTTATCACAGGGGTTAGCATACAGTAAGTATGCTATCATGTTTATTAGCTAACACACATAATAACAAAAAAGGAAAAGCAACATGTCTAAAAGTGAGGAGACTAAGAAAACTGAAGTATGCTACACAATGGAACCTAGATGTTTCATTAAAATAACAGCTATATGGGGACTGTGTAGATACAGAAAAGTGTGCTCTACATGCAATTCTAACAAGAAAACAGCAAAAAACAGTGGGTCCAAAATGGAGCTATGGAAAAATGAGGTATGTATGACAAAGAATGAGATAATTTCATAAATGAATCATGTGTCATAAAAAAAGGATTCTCAGTTTTTTTATTTTCTGCTGCACTGTCGTAGATATCCTGAAGATGGTAACAGTAATTAGAAGTAAAACGAGTCACGTTACATCAGAAGGAGGAGGTTCAGATACCCAGAGGTTTTCCAGAACTATCTAATAACTGATGCGCACAAGAGCCTCAGGCCCTCCAGGATCTTGAAGAAGCTTCTGAGTCGTCTGTGATTCACTTCTGATCCACGCTGTTCTGGGACCAGAGAACCCGCTCAGATTGAATCCTATGCACTCTAATGTGCAGTCCTTCTCCTCCTGGCTTGTCTTGTGTGCCCCAACGGCCAAAAATGGGGACATTAGTGCACTTGTATTCCCTGGGCATCTTTTGATTTTTTTCCCTTGCCTCTGGGTGTTGTGCCAAGTTTGGCTTCACCAGAGGACAGATTAAGGAAGAACTATAACCAGTTTCAAGTTCTGCTCCTGAGTGAGCTGAGGTGGCAGGGAGCCCCATTCTAAGAGAAAAGGGCACTCTGCTCCTTTAGATGCTGTGGCCCGGAACGCTGCAAGCTCCTTGGAGACCCAAGCCAGACGCTCATCTAAAGCAATGGGGCTTATTCATAGGCACGCAGCAAGGCCTCCTAAAATGTTTCCAAAGAAAAATGCACATAAAAGATGTCTAAAAATATACCTGGAGGAAGAAAACTCTTGTTGTCACGAGTAGTACCAAAGGGTGACTCACGTGTGTCCACCGTCTCCTGAATTGGGATGAAGCCAACAGGCAGAGTGTCCTTGATGTCAATGAGCTTCATATCCACTAACACGTTCCCTAAATGACTCTTGGGAAGAGAGAAAAGAGATATAGACTATTAATCTGAACACCCCCATGGTGGGTTTGCCAGTGAGGCTTCAAAATGCATATTGAACACAATGACTCATGCGGCTTTAAGACAGCAGGTTAATTAGAGTAGGTGCCACTTAATGTTTCTCAGCCATTACACAGGGACTTGGGTGGCCCCAGGGAACCTCAAATCCACTCGTTCAGATGTGGCCTCGGTTAGCTAGAGAAGCGACCCAGGAGCCGTTTGAGACATGACCCAGCAGAGGGCAGCTGTGCACACACGTCGCAGGACCGGCTGCCACTCATCGCAGAGCATTAGCCCGTGAGACCAGCAGGCTTTAGGTGGTCACTGAAGAAAGGCAGCTGCATCTGAACCCAACAGAGAACCAATCACACACCTAAGTGATCGCCAGTCTGCATATCAACACACATTTTTGTTGCTAGATACCTTGTGTAAAATCCCAAGAATCATAAACTGACATAGAGTCAGGAGCTCTGCTGCCTCACTATTACACATCTTCTAAAATGACATGCACCAGGGTCTCTTAAAGTTTCTATTTTGTGGTAGTACATGGGGTCTATGGTGCGCAGTTTCCTTAATCAGTGCAAAAATATTTTCCGAAGACAGCACACACCATTCTGTAACTGCAAAAGTGAATTCTCTGCAAACAAAATGGCATGTACAACCCATATTTCAGGTTGAACATCAAAATGTTCAGTGCTGATACTGTTTCTGAAAGCCAGTCAGGGAATCTTTGCCATCTAGACTCTATGCCCTATTCACTCTTGGCACTCTCTGTTTTCCTTCATATGAACTTAGAGTGGCATGTTTGTGAGGTTATGTGTCTAATATCTGCCTCCCCACCAGTGTTTATGAACCATGAGGACCAAAACCATCTGTTACTACAGCAAATCCAAGCCTACTGTAGCTCTTTGCACACAGTAGGTGCTCAATAATTATTTGCTGAATAACTTAATGTTTTTTGGACCATTTTCAACTGGGTGGGCCATCCAGAGTGAGAAAATAAATTGGATATTCTTAGATGATAAATCTAAAGACTATCAATAAAAACATTAAAAGTATATTTAGTAAATACATTACAACCCCAAAACACAAATGAAATAAATATTTCCAATTTAACTACAAAGGCCAAAGTGGTAAGTGTAAACTATGACCAGTATTTCCTATGGCACTGTTGTCACAAAACCATTTCTTCCTCTCATAGCTCTCATGTCAGCCAACAGTTTTATATTATCACATCTCAGGTAGCTAGGTCTCAGGAAAATAACGCACGGTGCCAGGCAGCTAGCAGAGAGCGGAGCCCTCACTGACGCAGAATAAATCTCTGACCACACAGGAAAGGTTTGAACCGTTAACCCAACTCACAAACATCAGCTGCTTCCAGAATTACTTGATCTAATCGATCATAATTTTTTTTCATGGCAGTTGCTTTTCCATGTCATCACTGCTTTCTGCATTGAGAAATTAACCATCGGGTATGTCCTCCTGCCCCAAAGATGGATGGGCATTCATCAATATCCTTCTCAAATGTCTTCTCCTTGACAAGTTGGGTTTTATAGAAGTCAACTGCAACCCACTTAGCGACCTCAGCCCCCCACACTCTACAAATGTCCCTGATCATAACACCAGAACATCGGTGGCGCGGCCATTAAAACCAGCATCAAACCCTCCCGTGCATACAAAAAGGGAGGCTGCACTGTCTGCGCTTCCCGCAGTCCAAGTGTGGTCCCTCCGCACGCGGGGCTGCCGTGGCACCCGGTTTAATACAGTGGTAGGTCTGCGACACCATTAATTTTGCTTGTTCCTCTCCCCTCCCCCATCTCGTGCTCTCTTTCATTTCCTCCTCATAAATATGAAGAACGTATTCCCAATCCTTGTTGAGCAAATGATTCATGCCAAAAGCCCAATATGCACTGACTCAGGGTATTTATATTGTCTCTGGTAGCCAGTATTTGCTAGTATACTGTAATTATTTTTGACAACCTTGCATTTAAGGTAGCCACAGATAACCAACTTAATATTCAAATGTTCATAAATCCTTCTGTTTAATATCCTCCCTACCTAATCTATGCACATTATTATTACAGGTAATGCAGAAAGTGCAGGGCATGAAAAGTACAATTAATCTCGATCCTTCCCCAGGAAGCAAAGTCACTCCAAAGCCAGGTTTTTGTATTAATAGCATTATGGGGGAACAGGATTTTAGGATCCAAAGGAGTCTCCCCAAACTCCTACACTGGGAGTCTCAAGTCACCTAATTAAGAGTCTGTCCAGTCTTGAGAGCCCACATCCCTTCTCTACAGCTGTAAAAAACGGTGCCTTGCAAAGTCTTGGCTCTGCCAGCAGGGCCAGGACAGAGGGGCTGAAACGCATTAACATATGCCTCATTCCTACTCTGCCCCTGGGCTGACAAGTGGGCCCCTGCCACCCCCAAGAAACGGATCCCTTTGGATCTCACTATAGGACCCATTCATTCATTTTCTGAAAACAAGACTCACCTATTTCCTAAGCTGATTCCAAAGAGGCAGAAGTTTCTTCTGCTGCCCCATCCTCATCTCATACCTTCATCATCCCCAGCCCACCTCGCTCGGCCCTCACAGAGAAAGACATGCACAGTAGGCACTTAATGTTCATTTCTTTTAGTGTTCAACAAATGTTGGCTAAATCAATGCATTTTCTGTAATACTCTTACCAATGACACCTCAAATAAGCCCTGGTGACTCCTGTCTATCGTTTTTAAACTTGTCACTGTCCCCCTCAAGGGACAAGGGGCTCTTCTGACCTAAAGTGTCAATACCCCACAGCCTCCAGGGGGAAATGCAATGAAAATAGAAATAAAATATGATCAAAGAGATTGTGGCTGTCCTCTGAAGCCACACTTTTGAACTGAAGCCTCTTTAGTCAGGAAAGGGAAGGCTCAGTAGGTGCCAGTAGCACCATGAGCACAGCAAGGGTGCGGACACGACTTGTCCAGATGCTCAGGAGTGCGGCCTGACAGCCCTGAGCCACAGTGAACATGACGGCTTTCTGAGAAAGTGGCGACCAGTAGTCAGAATGAATATAAATGTATTATATTTTTTTTAAATGTAAGTAGTTTCAAAAAAGCGTTAAGGTGCGCTCCAGGGACAAAGGGGGAAGAGAGCGCACAGTGTGAATGCAGGTGCAAGGAGCAGGCCGCCCGAACTTCATGGCCCATGTCTGCGCAGGCACCAGCCTTCAGACCGCTCCTCCGTGCCTCTCAGGCTGCACAATGAGCCTGAGGGACCTGCTCAGCTCATTACAGGCTCAGCTGCCACCTTTCTGCCTGTATGAGAAAGATTTCCAGTGTTTAGTGCCAGGATGGTACCCTACTCCATCAGAACTCTGTACTTTTTACCAAGCATACATTACTTTTCGTAATTAAAGTACTAATTTCTCCCCCAGTCCTGAATGTGTCAGGAATAATTTTCCTAACAAACACTTATCAACAAACAAACAGGAATGGCTGATGGAAGACAGTGCAGGCAAGAGAACTGTTTGTTGATACCCAGAAAACGTGGAAGAGACACAGGGACCCCGTAAGGGGCCATGGGCGCTGGGGGTATGAGGTAGGGAGAAAGACTGTTCCACTTACCCTTCCACACTTCTGAATGAGGATGCCTGAAGTTGTTCTTTCTTTAACCATGAACATATATTACTGTCATAATAACATTTAGAAAAATAAAGCAATAAAAATTTTCCAAAAATTTTTTTCACATTAGAAATAGACAATAACATTTAGGCCAAAAATAAAATGTCACCCCTGAAAATGGAAATCTGACTGCATGCTATTTGGGGCTAGGGAAGATAGGGCACCGTGGCCAAGCACGGAAACTCTTTGTTCTCAGGAAAGCTCATACTCCCAGAGGCTGTCAGAGGACAGAGGAGGCATGTTTGCAGTGTGCCTAGGACAGACCTCACACACAGCAGATACAAAAGTGATTTCCCTTTTTTCTAAGCTACTTACTAAAGCATTTTATTGGGAGAACCATGGTAGATATCCTTAAAATTTCCTAATTTATGAGCCCAGGTATTAACAACAGTATCCTAAAAGAACTCTGTATGTGTGGGGGATGCCTATCTGCAGAAGCAGTGAAATGCCATATGTCATATAGAGACTCAGAGAGAAAGTCAGTCATTTGGGGAACAAGGCGATGTCTGTGGAAAGGGGTGATCATGTGGCATCCTTCTAGCTATGTTTCCATTTGCTGGTTAGCTTTAAATCTAGCTTCACGGGCAAATTCTCGAAGCCATACAACCCTGTGATTTGTTACTTGGGGGCAAGGTAGGCAAATGAGAGCTGTGAGAGAAATTTCCTGGCTTCCTTTTGAGAATGCATTTTAATGGAATTCACTGTACACTTGGGTATGTGGTTAATAATACTGATAATAAATGAAACACAGTGCTAGCTGCTGATTCTACCCAGTTCACTAAAACTACAGATTAGTATGGTAATGAAAATAAACCACAACAGAAAAATGAGGGAATTTCCAACAGGAATGTAAATGACTTGTGCTCACTCAGCAAACATGAAGCGCGACTGGACTTACATTTTCTTTGGAAAATGATCTTGTGAAACACAGGTATCTGGTAACCTTGGATTTAAATAAGCCGTCTTTCCAGAGGTCAGCATCCACGCCATCTGCTGTCTGTGCCACCTGCACCAAAGAGACCGAGAAGAGGACCACAGGTAAGGCAGGATGGAGCTGAGGTGTGTGTGAGCAGCTTCTTCATACCTGTGCCAATTAACACTGGCCCGAACTCTCATGGCATCTCATTAGTTCATTTCACCAGGCACTGGGAAGAGACTTTCCAAAAGGGGAAAAGGGAGAGTGTGAAAAATACAACTTCTAAAAATACGGTCCCTGGGGAAGCCATTGATTAAAGACACCCTGACAAAAATGGTTCTAATGAGAAAAGAGCAACTTTCGTTGTAATGGACCAAGAAGGGACCGGGTAAGTCAGCATATTAAGTCGCTCATTACCACTTACTCGGGAGGCAGTACTGGGTGCAGAAGCAAGTCCAAGGGGTGTGAAATGCCACCTGAGAGGGGCACTGCCCGCGGTGCGGCTGACACGGCCTCCTGCTCCAGGGCTCTGGGGCTGGCCAGGAGCTCCAGTCAGTGGGGCTCAACTGGGGGCTGGGGGGGCAGGTGTCAGGAAAATTAGCTCCTTACTGCGTCTTCTCAGTGCAAACTCTGCAAGTAGTTTATTCATGGTCGGAAATGGTATCTTGATAGAAAAATAGAAAAGATTTTGTTCCTTGTTTACAGTCTCCCTAAGCAGCAATTTTCTCCTATACAGCTGTGGAAATTTCCCCCTAGGAAGCATTCTAGGATGAAGCCAGCCTTGATTTGAGTCTTGAAGGAAGCGTGACCTGGACTGGGGTCAGGGGTGGGTGTGAGGATCCAGGCTCTGGGGAGAGTTTACATTGAGGTTGGCAGAAGAAGAGACAAGGCCAGTCTGGGTGGACTCTTCCCACTGCTCAACTGGTGGACTGTCGGGCTCAGCCTCACCCACAGCCTAACGGGGCAACACCACCAGCCTCGAGGCTGAGTACCAGTCACCCTCGTGCACCTTGCGTGGGCCCTGCCGGCGGAAAGACAGAGGGCGCGGTGCCCGTCTGCGGATGTGCCGGCAGCCGTCTCCGCGCTGCGCTCCCTGTGGCCGCCGCTGGTTCTTCTGAGCTTCAGACTTCAGGATGAGGTCCTTGATCTGACCAGCTCCTGACCACTCTGACAAACTGCGGAGCGCGCCTCTGTGTTCTCTGCACAGAATGGGCCTTGATGCAGCCCATCCCGTGTGCATGCCACGCAGGACGCCCACAGCCTCTGACTGTCTTGCCTGGGGTGGGTGGGGGGCAGGGGCCCCTGCCTTGGGACATTCCCAGAGCCCCCACAGCTCCGTCCTCCAAGGCTGCCTCAGAAAGGACCTATGGCCAACTGGCAAAAGAAAAATGCTTTCTTTTCAAACCAAACAATTGTAAATTAGCAAATGCAACAAAGGGACAGGAAATTCCTCTTGCTAAATGTGCAAGTACGTTTGACCTGCAATCTGGAGCATGGCTGTGGGGATAATTTTGGGAACTGCTCACTCCAAGTATGTCACCTCCACAGAAAGAAACCTGACGCAATGGGGTGGAGCTTCACGGTACTTTTCCCATAATGGTCATGCATAGCGCTTCTTGGAAAACATGAGATAGGAGGCTCTGGTTCCAACTGTCCACCACCACGAATCCCTTTTGTTCATGTTCCCGTTTTCATGTTTCCCGTTTTCATGGAAAACATGGATTCCATGTTTTCAAAGATCTTTGTTTCCTAAACTGTACTTTCACTGTATTTCCTTAATTCTAGAATGTATTTTGGAATCACCATGGATTTGAAAAACACCCTTTTAGGAAAAATAGAAATAATATCCTATCAAAACACACAAGTCTATTTTCAGATGTGCCCCAGTTTCAGAACCATTAAAGTGTGAAAATAAAAGGTGCCATAGGAACAGGGAAATAAGGGAAGCTATAGGGGTTTCCATAATATCTTTGATACATTTTTTAAAGCAGTCTGCGGAATACTCAGTCTGTGGAGACACTGGCCTGGGCGTCAGCAGAGAGTGGTGCCTGTGACCTCCCACCAGGAAAGGAGGGGACCCAGAAGTATCTGGAAATCCCACTGCACGGTGGTGTGGACCCTGAATCAAGGCTGCCGCTTCCAGGGTTAGGAAATGATTCCCTCTTCCCACACATTGCTGGAATTTCCCTTTTTCTGAGCGAGAAGACACTTTGATACGGTTAAGAGGCCAGAGCAAGAATGAAAGGGAAAACGTCTGCACTGGGCCCGCCCCTGCTCACAGGCTCCCTCCACAGTCCTGGCAGCTACAGGCCTCCAACCCGGGCTCAGAAGCAGTAAACCAGACAACCAAGGCCCAGCTTTGCCCTGAGGCCACAGCTCATTGCAATGAAGTAAAAATATGTAATGACTTCCAACCCCAGCCACGGGTGGGGGTGGTGAGGAGAGAGGAGAGAGGAGGGGATGTGGGGGACAGAATGCAAACACATGGCCTGGGCCATGCTGGACCCTCACAGGGGGTAAACTGGAGCAAGGAGTGAAGGCCCCCAAGTCCTGGCTCACCAGGAGAACTAGAGAGCGGGCCCCGGGGGCACAGGCACGGCACTCCCAGCCGTGCCCTTCCTGTAACAATGAGACGGACCCAGAAGCTTCTTTCCAATCCAGTCACATAATGGGGCATCTTCTACTAACCTAAATTCTTCTTGTCCAAAGTTAGATAAGCTAACTACCTATAAGATAAATTACTTGTAAGGCAGGCAGCTAGCTGCATGATGTGCAGAAGTTCACATCTGAACTCTGACCCTGTGGGCTCAGCAGTCAGCCTCACAGTCCCAGCCAGGATGTGACAGGCTCAGGGAAGGTGGGCTGCGGGCTGCAGGAAGAAGGGCTCTAAGTGCAGCATGAAATTGACAGGCAGGCCTGAACTTGACAAGGCCCCTCCTCCTGGGGGCACCCAGGTTAGAAAAGGTGATGTGCATGCAAAGGTAAATCAAGGCTCCCCCAGGAAGTTGCCATAGGAACAGGGAAATAAGGGAAGCTATAGGGGTTTCCATAATATCTTTGATACATTTTTTAAAGCAGTCTGCGGAATACTCAGTCTGTGGAGACACTGGCCTGGGCGTCAGCAGAGAGTGGTGCCTGTGACCTCCCACCAGGAAAGGAGGGGACCCAGAAGGGCTCCCTGGGTATCTGGAAATCCCACTGCACGGTGGTGTGGACCCTGAATCAAGGCTGCCGCTTCCAGGGTTAGGAAATGATTCCCTCTTCCCACACATTGCTGGAATTTCCCTTTTTCTGAGCGAGAAGACACTTTGATACGGTTAAGAGGCCAGAGCAAGAATGAAAGGGAAAACGTCTGCACTGGGCCCGCCCCTGCTCACAGGCTCCCTCCACAGTCCTGGCAGCTACAGGCCTCCAACCCGGGCTCAGAAGCAGTAAACCAGACAACCAAGGCCCAGCTTTGCCCTGAGGCCACAGCTCATTGCAATGAAGTAAAAATATGTAATGACTTCCAACCCCAGCCACGGGTGGGGGTGGTGAGGAGAGAGGAGAGAGGAGGGGATGTGGGGGACAGAATGCAAACACATGGCCTGGGCCATGCTGGACCCTCACAGGGGGTAAACTGGAGCAAGGAGTGAAGGCCCCCAAGTCCTGGCTCACCAGGAGAACTAGAGAGCGGGCCCCGGGGGCACAGGCACGGCACTCCCAGCCGTGCCCTTCCTGTAACAATGAGACGGACCCAGAAGCTTCTTTCCAATCCAGTCACATAATGGGGCATCTTCTACTAACCTAAATTCTTCTTGTCCAAAGTTAGATAAGCTAACTACCTATAAGATAAATTACTTGTAAGGCAGGCAGCTAGCTGCATGATGTGCAGAAGTTCACATCTGAACTCTGACCCTGTGGGCTCAGCAGTCAGCCTCACAGTCCCAGCCAGGATGTGACAGGCTCAGGGAAGGTGGGCTGCGGGCTGCAGGAAGAAGGGCTCTAAGTGCAGCATGAAATTGACAGGCAGGCCTGAACTTGACAAGGCCCCTCCTCCTGGGGGCACCCAGGTTAGAAAAGGTGATGTGCATGCAAAGGTAAATCAAGGCTCCCCCAGGAAGCACCCACAAAGCCAGTGCTAACATGTCCCAACTTAAAATGAGGACCTCTGGTCTGATGTCGAACCAAGTATTTTAAATGATGTTAGGCTAGATAAGGATTCAAAAAGCCTTAAACTGTCACATCAGGGCTCAGCTCCAATGTCTGGTCCTCTGGGATTCCTTCTCCATCCCTGGGACTAGATCTGGTGTTCAAGCACAAATTATATACTTGGGCGATTAACACTTACCTGTCCCCTACTATCCTGCCACTGGACTATCCTCTCCCCAAGGACAAGGACGATGCCTGCTCTGATGGCCATTTATCCACTGAGCTAAGCACAGTGCCTGATATATGTAGACCCAATCAAAACTTCCTGAAGGAATAAATGAATCAGCCATTCAACCAGGTGCAATGTGTGAAAAACCACACACCTTGTTAGCTACCTGTGTAAGGTAATACGAATCTTTTTAAAATGAAATTTTTAGGATTTAATCCCTTGAGCTGAGTATACCCCCTTCAAAACCACCACTCTGTGAGGACACATACCTATTTCAATAATGAGGCCACTAATTCTTCTGATTTTCTTGTTTGTACCCTGCTTCATTCCCTAAATGACTAGAGTTTGTCGGGGCTGCTGCAGGCAGTGCCCCCAGTGCCCGTGGCAGGGCTTCCCACGCGCACACACACTCACTCCCACGTGCACTCTTCTCTCACACACCCTCCCTCTCTTGCCAGCACTTCCCTGGGTACAGGAGTGGCCCCAGAGGGGTGGTAGGTGGGTAGTGACAGACTGAATACATGGTTTGTCTCTCTTCTCTGCCAATATCCTTCTAACATGACAATCACGCAGAGAAAGCATGAATCCACTTAAGGAGCACCAGAGGGGGACAGCATAAGAGAGATGCTGGCAAATGCCTGGAGATGTGGGAAGTGGAAGGCACAGATCTAGCAGCCCAGCTTGTGCAGGGGGGTGGGGGGCGAGGGTGTGTGGGTTGACATCTCAGGGC